ACAACGAAAACAATGAAACTCATGAGGGGCTTTGCGAAATCACCGCTCAGTTGGACAAAAATTCTCTCTTTAAGGCGGTTGTGGAGGCTTTACAATCAGAAAATATCGATCTACCACAGCAGAAGTGCGTTGTTGCTTGTATGGCTTTTGATCAAAACTCCTTGTACGTCTGTGTCGAAGGTGTCCCCTACGTCTTCAAAATACCCACAACTTCATTGCCGCGGTCGAAGTTTGACCTCTCAATGGATAAAATCCATCTCAAACTCCCAGACTCTCTAGAATTACTGCCGTCGGCTTTGTGTTTAAAGCAATCCCAGAACGAGACACGTGAATTGTTTATCATTGGACAGACTCGATCAGCAACATCAGACGTTTCTTTCAACTTGCTTGCTTGCTTTTCCCCAGATGGTAGACTTATTGCCCAGACTCGCAAGTACCCATACCACCGTTTTGTAGCCATTGATATAGACTGTGATGGTAACCTGCTGCTATCATGCGCAGCAGGACCGGAAGGCACTCCAGCCGCCCAAATCTGCAAGTTGACATCCCATTTTGAGCGACGCATCTTCTCGATCACGATGCGCAGAGATCAGACCATCTATCAACCCCAGTGGATTACCAAGACTTCTACTGGTGGACAGTGCTGGGCCTCCGTCAGCCGTACAGAACTAGATTCCAGTCCCCTAGGCGAGGATGAAAAGCGCCGCATATTTGCCTTCCCGGGCTGTCAACCTATTGACTCCTCAGGCGTTCCTCGTAGCCCGAAGGAGTGGTTGCGGGTCATCTCCTGGAATTTTGACGACTTCGCTGCTGGTGAAATTGCAGCTCTAGACGCAGAACATCTCCTCGCCGTCGATACAGAGAAGCGCAGCCTGGCCCTCATTACTTGGCGTGCTGATGAACCCTCGCCCAACCTCCAGCGGATCATCAAACCGAGTGATCGGACAATCGATTTTATCTGCACTTCCACATCCCTCCCCGAGGTTGTCTCACACCCTGTTGCCTACTTGGTTTCACAGGGAGATATCTATAAATTCTCCCTACCTGAGAATCGCGTGGACAATGAGCACTACTAGACAACGGTCTCCAATGTAAAATTAGCTCCATCTGATAAACCGTGGGTTTCCTGATTTTATAGTGACCTTAACTTGTGCACATCACCCCCACCCCGCCCCTCCTGCTTTGCAATTACTTGTCTGTCCACTGATTCTGCATTTGTTTCCCTGCTCAACTGAGCGCACCACATCGAATTACACGCCACAAACTGCAAACGCGTACTCGTTTTAGCCTTTGTTGTCAGCTGCCGGAGGGAGGTATGGATCGGGTGAAGGGCACCAAGCATCTTGGCATACATCGAATACCTACCTTACGTATTTAAGATGGTTTTAGTCAGATACGATTATTTCGGTTTGGTGTTTCATCGTACAAGGTTGGATCGTCTGCAATAGAATGTCTGGTGCATTATCTACAATTACCTCAGTTCAGAGAGTCGAGAAGGGATCGTTGTAGACACTTTATTTTTATTTTTTCAATTGTACTGCCTAACCTCGGTCTCCATATGTCAATGAATTTTCCGCCCGAAAAACAAATTTACCAATTATCTACATTTATTTTACCATTCCAGTATGCATACATAGGCACCTCCCGTAAAACCCCTATTACAGGCACCTTTGGCTGTTCGTGTATTTGGAGTCCTTCACCCGATCGTTGTCCAGAGGGACTCTTAGGTAAGAAACACATTAGCTAGTGCATGGACATTTGTGCTGCTCCAGGCTGTTTGACGCAAACTGCAGTCCGATTATCCCCTGTGATGGTTTTGTCGCCAAAAGCTCGCCCATCTTAACTAGCGTAGCCTTCTTAGTCTTATGGCTTCTTGTTTCAATCCTGAACTCAGGGTAACGCCATTTCCTCCTAATGAAATATTTCCAGTCACCACCCACAGCGCTTGGACCCATAGCTCAGGTAGTACTGTATGGTTTTATATACGTGGGTTTAAATCTAGTGTGTCCGTTGTGGTAGGACTGGCCGATGGTGCTGAATAAGACAGAGACTGTCATTGTTCCCGTCTCTGGCATTTCTCCAGTACTAATTGCCATGCAGGAGCCTGCGAGGGTCCTGAAGCCAGAACCATAAGGCCAAAGGGAGAAGTACACCTCCTTCCTAGGGTTGGGCTAGGTCAGTGGGCACCACGCCTTTGTGATTCAAGATTGTTTTGTCCACACAGAGTACGTCCTCAGTAGCAGCTCAATAAGTAGGATGACTGTCAAGACCGGCATCAGGTGCCCTGCCCTAGAAAATGGGCGAGTTTGAGTGAACTAAATCCCGGAGAGGAGGGACGGTGAGTTCTTTTAACTCGGGTATACCACCATCTGGCGGTTTTTTCACTTGTATGGGAAGTGGTTTCGCACTCTCATGGCCCAATCAGCTGATCTATGCAATCCATACAAACGGAAGGGATGGTCTTCCTTGCAAAGCTAGGCCGGAAATTGTTTCGTCGCCTTGCGGTTGACCAGCCGGGCATGCGCGCGTGCATTCTGATGAAAGATCAATGAGCCGCAGACGACTACGCACCCTAAACTGGTTTTTTTTCACGGTACCCCTGGTCAGAACTCATAGTCCGTTTCAGTCTCACCTCGACATCCAAGAAGTAGGCCAGGGATTCGACTCAGAGGCAAAGTTCGAGAATACCTTCATTCGAGTTCGTGAGCCTGTTCACATTTCGTGCATATCTTCGTAGGAAGTTCAATTGGCAGATTTAGAAATGGAGGGACTAACAAACCATAATGCTACAGAGGCAGAATGATATTACCGACAAAGACAAGGGAGACTGGAGTGGCCATTTTTGGCTTATTAGCCGTCGTCAGCCAGCCATACCCAACCCCGAAGTGTGGCACCCCCGAGGCTCGAACTCGCGACCTGTTTGTTAGAAGTCCACGCCTCTAACCACTGAGCCACGAGCCCGTTCCCCTGCTACAGAGACAGTTAGTTCCCTGCTCCTTTAATAGAATCGTTACCACGATTCTAGCGATAGCGCAATGTCCCGTCCTAAATCGGCCGTTAGGACGTGTCTCTAGATTACCCGGAGCGAGCTTGCCGTCACGATATCTTTTATGTTTCCTATGCATAATATGAGATCTCTTCTATTGTTTCCCCCTAATCAGATCTCATAATTTTTGTCTTTATAGTTCTGAAGCAGTGCACGTTGATTAAATGGTCGATACCCACGCCCACGAACTTTTGACGTAATTGGGGGTGTATCTGTGCCAACCGTGGGAACTGCGCTCATATACAGGGTGGGTCAGTCCACCGGTACGCCGAGCCTTGTGTCCTCGTTCGACGTTACGGTCACAACGAGGTCCTGGTCGCTTTGCGTTGTTATCTAGTGCTTGCAAATGTCTTGCGTAAAACAGAAGTGACCTCGGATTGTTGGGGGTGGGGACTTTCTCTGCAGACATGCATAATTTATCGGCCTCTGAGGTGCATTGGAGAGAGACGGCACATCCGCAAACTAATTGTATTGCAGTGTGCTTCTAGGAATGAGGTAACTGGCGCGGTCAATCGTCTAAATGCCGCTGTTATTCTTTTGTTTAGTTTTCTTATTTGGGGGGCTTCTGTCATGCAGCCCCTCCGGTGTGGAGACCCCTTAGCATAAGGATTCTTCATGTGCACCGCGGTTTTGTGATGCATCAATACGCCAATTCTTTTGCAGTCACCACCAAACCGTGAATATCGTGTGGCGTCTGATCCTCTGTATGACATTGATAGGGGTCGGTTATGCAGTCCTGATCCCAAGTATAAACGCAATGTGGGCATGGGAAGTAAAGTAACCCGAAGGAGGATGCTGAATTCATTACTGGGAAAATAGTCAAATCTAAAAAGGGAAAGGACAACCTGATGTTTTGGGTTTGAGGTGGGATTAGTTTTAAGGTTTGGATTAGGGTCCGGCTGAGCATAGAGTTTAGGGTTAGGGTTTGTGTTAAGTTTAAGGGTTCCGATTAGGGTTGGGCTTTGGATTGCGGTTTAGGTTTACGTTTAGAGTTAAGGTTGGGGTTAGGGTTAAGGTTATGGTCAAGGTTAGGGTTTGGGTTACGGTTAAGGTTAGCGCTAGGAGTTGGGTCAGCGTTAAGGTCAGGCTTAGGTTTAGGGCTAGGGTTTGTGGAAGGTTTAGGGTTAGAGCTAATGCTATGCTCGGGGTTAGCGTTAGGTTTGTAATTACGTTAAGAATAAGGTTTACTTTTGAGGTTACTGTTAGGTTTGCCATTATAATTGGGTTATTGCTGCCCCGCGTGTCCTCTCAGCCGGGTCTTTTGCGGGGATTCTAAGTTTCCTTCAATCTCGCAACAGATTTGTCATACATCAGATTACCTTTTGCGTTTAAGTTTTGGCTACTTTCCAACTAACGATTTCAGCATCCGACTTACTTTACTTTCAATTCTCACATTGCGCTTACAATTGAGACCAGGACAGCATAACCGAGCCTTGCCTTTGGTCTGTTCCTCTCTGACAGAATGAAAGTCCCAGATGTGTCAACCCTTTATGCAGTGTTTTCATCCGATTAGGACAACACCTTTAGTCCTGTGGAGAACTGAGATCGGTTTTTCGAAGTCAGAAAGTAGGATTCGGCGGTCAGCAGCTCCATGGGCTTACACTCTCACACGCGGCAGAAAGAACAACTCCGGATACTACTAGTAACTAACTTCGATCTTAGGTTGTCAGCATATGTGCAAAGTCTCATCCTTGGCCAGCTTCATCACTCATTTTGTTAGAAAAAGCTGAGATATTTCAGAAACGGTTGCTCTGTTTTTTTTTTGGGGGGGGGGGGAGGTAGCCCTTGGACCCTGGACAGAAAATCAGAACAGAAGTACTCTGGGAATGATGATATCTTAGCTGTGTTCGAAGCAGTAGTTAATATTCTTTTCTTTCACGGCAGAAGAGACGTAAATCTCGGCATTCTTCCACAGAGAAGTCTGCTACCGTAACTTTTCAGCTCAGGATATCAGATCCGCCAGTCTCCTCGGACTCACCCTTCTGTGCCTCCTCTAAAACTTCGGTTTAGCGGAGTTCTTTAACCTTTGATCTTTCTCGTCTCCTTGTGCACCAAAGACACATCTAGTAATCTGATCTGGTCTGAAGTCCCGCTTTCCTGACTTGGCACTCTTTGGTTTAAAATAGCGGTGAGGATGTGAGTCCGGACTTTTTGCACACCAGAATTCTGTTATGCGGAGCTTGTGTGTGCGTGTGTGGATCTTGCAAGACGCTCAGACGTAGAGTCCTTATTTGATCTTAAATTCTTTACAAAATGTATTTTTAGTAATCCTGACCTCCAGACCCTCTCCCACGTAAGTGAGTTGATTTTGGTTATGTTCTAGCCTCCCCCTCGTGGCGACTGTAGGTCAAATCTCCCGTTAGTCGCCATTTGGACATCTTTTACCGTGCTATGCCATAGTCCACGTGGAAGACCGCGGTTCTCCTTAATCCGGGTTCCCTGCGTTATACTTTTGACCTCATTCGTTAACACAGATTTCCTCAATCATTTGACATATTGCCCAATACAGCGAGACAGAACCAATCTTAATTCCTAGCGCGCTCATCATGAACACCCTCTCAAAAGTTCTCTCGTGGGGCTAAAAATGGTCTAATGTTGTTAAATTCGGTCAGATCAAATACCGAACAGTCTACGCATGAAGCCCCGAAGGCATTTGGTTGAATAGAAGCACACTGAATTTCCTTCTCAAGCAGCCTACGGGGCTGCGCAAAATCATTTTTGTAGTTTGCAATTTGTGAATATTCAGAAAATTTGTTTATTAAGGCGCCTTACAGGCAGCAAGAAACTTGAGAGGGTCAACAATTTTCGGAGAGACTTTAGTCTGTTTCGCGCTCCCGTTGACAGATGGCATGAACCCGTTTTCAGTCATGGATGCAAACCGCCGATATGCTGCGATATATTACAAACGTCACTCATTTCTTCCGCTTCGCCTCGTCTCTGGTGTTGAAGTCATGCGCTGGTCTGAAAGCTCAATCAACTGTAACAACGGTTTTGGTAGTCCACTCCACTCCCAGTTTTTGGTATCCCCGTCAGTTTGCAAGCAAATAGGAAAGTGAGAAACCCAGACCAGGCAAATTTCACAGGCTTGAGCGTGGTTCCAGATAATTTAGGATTATGCTCGGAGCTAACTCATCCTTCCTTTTAAAATTCCATGATCCCGAGGTGAATGCGGAGGCTATGCTTCTCACAGTTTTCCTGCTAGCCGAGTGGCCTCGTTTTCTGCCGCTTCCCCGACATCAAGGCCAGATGTCTGTTTAATTCACATCGATAACGATTGTAGGCACTCGTCTACGTGACCCAAACTTCATCCAATGCGTTTGCTTAAGGCTGCTGTAGTCACTGCCACCTCCAGATGATTGCTCACGTCTTGACACGGACACTATGTGTCATCGGTCACGTCGAAGTGCGGGCTGAAAAGTCGGCCGCAACATCGTCACGCAGCAACAGAAAATTTGCTGCTGATACTCTGATTTCAAGGAACTTGGCCTCGCTCCTGATCTGACGCAGACTACAATGAGTACATAGAAGGCATACTTGCCACGAAAAAAGTCTAAAATGCGACAGTCGCCAAAGGAACTAGAAATGCAATGCTAAAACAGTTCGTATGGTCTAGAGGACGGGTGAATTTTCAAGGGACAACGCTCTTTTGGCCTGCCACCAGGTCTGATTTTAAACAACCAGGACGGACAGTTCTGAGTTCCCGTAAGTACTCTTCGACACATTTGAAGTTCGTAATCACAGAGTAATCCCGCCAAACATGACCGCTATGTTGTTAAAGTTGAATAACTCGAAATCTCAAAGAACTGTACTGAACTTAATAATTTTACAAATCAAAAACTGTCGCTGGAAGCCGGTAATCGAATTAGGAGTTGAGCTCTGACCGCCACTCACAATCGTCTCCGTCTCGTTCATGTTGACCAGTTTTCCAGCCAGCGAAGTGTCAAGTGTTTGATTGATAAAATATACCAAAAGCTGAAAAGAAATAAATAAACTTGTAGGTGTGGTTCTCACTGATTACGACGGGGACACCGCACATCAATGCTATGAGGACCTGCCGAGTACGATCCACTGTAGTATCGCTCTTCGCCATCAGGAGTCAGTGGTAGACAGCTACCAGAACGTTTATTTCTACTAAGCCTGGACGGACAAGGGGGTCGTTAGCAAGTGCAGACAGGGGTCGAAGCGTAGGGGGCGGATGTCGGGTGAGCATTCTGTCAAGCATGAGACATCAGCGTTTCTCCAGGCGCGCACTGACGTCGCACAAATCCATCACTCTCAGTGTCAACCCTGGCACTGGCTGGCTTTGCTAGAAGCGTGACACCCGTGGATGTGAGACCAGTTTGGCGCGGTTACGTGGTCCCGATGTGCCTGAGCAGCCGGAAACGGCTAGGGGTGTGTTACTGAAATCTGATAAGAAGCCTACCACTCTGTCCAGGAAGCGGAACTAATTGAAAAATCGAAGCTAGCAGGTAGCGGACGGTTGTCTTGTGTGAAAGGGGCCAGCTAAAAAAGGTACACTGTCACACGACCACCATCACACAGGCATTGGTTAACCTGATGGATGCACGCTTGCTGACCGATGAGAATTACTGCGTCTCTTCTGTAAAGCGTGCAATCCTCCTTCAAGTGGGACCTTTCTTCTTCTTCTTCTTCTTCTTCTTCTTCTTCCTCTTCTTCTTCTTCTTCTTCTTCTTCTTCTTCTTCTTCTTTTTCTTCTTTTTCTTATTCTTATTCTTCCTCTTTTTCTTTTTCTTTTTCTTTTTTATTCTTCTTCTTATTCCTCCTCATCATCTTCTTCTTCCTCCTCCTCCTCCTCCTCCTCCTCCTCCTCATCATCATCATCATCATCATCATCTTCTTCTCCTCACAAAAGGAACTTGTACTGGAGGCCATAATGCTCCCCGTGTGCGTCACTGCCCTAGCTGCTGTGACAGATCTGTTCTGGTGGAATGTGAGCTAGCAGTGGAAAAGTCCCAAAGGACCGGTTAAATGTGGATTTGTGAGGTACACATGCTCCTAAGAATGGTAATGGAGGAGAAATTCTCGACCTGTTAGCAGACGTTGTCGTGACCAAGCGGCGAGAGTAAGTGCTCTGAGCGCTACAATAATCAAGTCGAATCTCAGATTGGAAGGAGAAGACGGAAGGCACCAGTTTGAGGGGTTTACTGTGCGCAGAACCCGGAGTTGTCCTCTCAGGCGGCAGTGGCCACTGCGGAAGCCGGGGCTAATGTTGACTGCTTCCAGTCATCCCTGAGAGTCACTGTGACAGTGGTGGCAGCCGCTTTTGTAGGCTCGTGGGCCAAGCTCAAGTGGTGTCCAGTCAGTGTGTGTTGCATTTACCAATGGTGTCCCAATGGCTTAGGTTGCGGTTGCAGGGGGGAGGTGCGTTCAAGTGGCCGCATGGGCAGCTGCGACTGCGCGGCCGCAGGTATGCCCGAGCTGTTGGTCGCGTGACTTCAGGTCAGCGCGTATGGAACGGTTCACTGCAAAGGGTGGATGACCTTGAGGCAGCGAAGTCTTGAACAATGACGCCAGACCGGTCATGATGGCTGCCCACTGCAACGTCTCCCACCGGAATCAAGACCTCCGATTTATTACACGCTCTGACGGCCGCCGGAACGTTAAATGATTTCTTTAACGGAACTTTATAAGGGGGGATCTCCAGGAAACGAAAGTAGAATCCAATGTGAGCAGTCTTGTCGTGAAAAGAGTTACTGACTCTCCTACAGAAATAGATAAGAGGATGTAACGGAGCCAAGTCTTCAAAGACAAACCGGTTACAGTAGTTAAATATAATGATGCAAATATAAATGTTGCAAGTAGGTAATGATTGGACTACCATATGGATTCCTTAGAGCGTTTTTACTATTGTAACCGGTGGAACAACTGGTATCTTAAAAAATTATCAAAATTCATCTTTGGATCAGAAAAGTCCTTCTGACGATTCACACCCTGAAAAATTTTGACTGGCTTTGGATTGCTCTGCAATTTGTCAAGGGACCCGAGATGTAAAAAGGCCGTTTTCGATTAAAATACAAAGTTTTGATGGAAACCCGAAGTAGACAAGCGATTTCCCAGCATTTTCCTCCTTGTCAGTCAATTTATTGCCAGTATATTCTTCTGCACTAATTATCAGCCCCATTATCTGGCCCCTATGGTACCCTAACGCATTTGAGATCGCCAGAATTTGGCGAGCGATCCCGTACATCAAGAACGTCTCTGAGGCCGTTAGCCGCCTTCTTGCACCTCTTGGGGTTGGAGTTGCACACAGACCGGAGGCCACCATGAGGTGTCAGGTGATGAGACCAAAGGACTCACTGCCACGGCATGAAACATCTGGAGTCGTTTACCGGATCTGGTGCAATTGCGGACAAAGCAACTACGTCGGAGAAACTGGAAGACTGCTCCGAACGCGAATTGCCGAACACGCGGCAGCGGTACGGAGGAATGACGCCAACTCTCAAGTCGCGGCCCATTCGACGAGACCCGGCCACACACGATGAGGCCGAAATTCTCGCGACAGTGGATAATCGTGTGAGCCGCGAGTTGCTTGAGTCATGGTTCACGGGGCCTCAATCAATCAACAAGTGCAACGACATGTCCACTCCATACTCCGTGCTGAGGCATAGGCTGGCCAAGGTAATTGACCACTCGGGGCGCGCGCAAGCCGGTGAGCCAGATGGCCGAGCAATCATCACGCCAGCATCCAACACGGGTGATGACATCTCGGTAATTAACAACTGGCATGCCGACCAGCAAGCAATTAGCGCACCAGCGGGCAACGATCCTTCATGAAGGGGGGCGCGGTTAATTGCTATAGGTATGCGGTAGCATAACGACTGCATCCTATAAATGCTTCAACTTCCTGTGCACGAGTCACCCTTTTCTGCTACTGTCTCTGGTGATGGATTAAAGTGAGAATCCGAAACGTCAGGCGAATAAAGACCTTGTTCCAGCGATCGTTTCTTCTTCTGATCAACTAGTTCCTGAAACTCGCATCTTCGCTTGTATCGGTACCTGCTTCCACTATCCGCATCAGAGGACTGATCGGCTCGGACTGTGTGCTGGTGCCTCGGGGGGGAGGGGGGGGGGAGGGGGGAAGAAAGAGTGAGGTCGACTCTGGGAGGCTACGTCTCCACGCCACTAAGCACATGTTCCCCACTATAAACAATCTGACGCGCCAAAAGCCCCGACTTGGAGGAATGCCAACTGACGTCAGCAACCAGTTCTTCTCTCAGGACCGAGAGTCAGTCTGCAATGGCTCCTTAATGTGGTCTCTATGGCACTTCCACGAAGTCGCCTCTTTTTTGTTGTTTTTGCGAAAACCTGGTTCAATGTGCGCAAACGTGCAGGCGTAGGTGGTGCACACTGACGGGCTGTTTATCCTTGTCAGTCACTGCGCCCCATCTAACCTCCGGTCATATTGACTCTCCTTTGACACCGGGCTCAGGTGAGTGAAAAGGAGGGAGTGTGTTAGTGGCCTCGAAAGTCCACCGACACAACAAACTAATTCAGGCGCAAGCTACTGTCCCCTGGACGCCATGCTATGGGGCACACGGTGGACATAATCGGTGGCCACGGCCGAACTCTCATCGGTGTATGGCTTATCATTTCTGAATAATTTTTGCTTTTATAAGCAAAGTGTGTAATTCCTCGGTTTACTCTTTAGAAGTGTTTGAGAAAGAGGAACCTCCACTGGAGGGAGTATTTTTTTTTAATAAAACAAGATTACTTTTCTTAAAGCGAAGCCTGTCATCATGCTTATCCGCTTATTTTTTCAAATAGATTGCAATAGATTGTGCGTACGACGTTTTGGGAAAAGAACGAACTCAATTTACTTATTTTGCGGTTTTCCGAAGGTCGCGTTTTCTTCCCAGAAATTTTAGCTGATTTCTGTGTATTTTTTCGAGGTTAGATCCTCGACTGACCACTTCTCATGTTCAGGTCAACTTAAAATAACGCGTTGCAAATAATTAAAGACGCCGTCGTCTTCCGATCTTGAAAAGTGCTGCAGAGCTAGTTTGAGGAACAGCATACGCTTGTTTTCCAGTTACCAAACGAATAGATTAGCCCAGCTTTCAGACCACCCGGCGGTGATAAGTATGCACAGGTCAGGGTCACTGGGTTTTTACCACTTTCTTGATTTAGACACCTATCGGTATCTGAAAGGATCAACCAGCTCTCGGCACAAGTCTGTGATCTAGCCATCACAGGGAGCAAGGCAGGCCAGTCTACGGGACACGGTGGGTATTTGAAAGTCAGAAATCACAACTATTCCCCTCCCCATAGATCAGTGAAACACTAGACTCACTAACTGCCCTCATCCCGTAGGCCTGTAAGCAAGGCTTCAGTGCTGGTTACATTGCGACTTGCAGCGACCTTCCAAGGGCACCAGGGTCCTCCTTGCTCTTGCGCCAAAAAGACAGCTTTCGCGAATAGCACCGAAAATGCGAGTCCTGGGCTCCCATTACAACGAAGAGGAACATATGCTCATTGGCACAGCAGTTACATTAGTCTGACCCCGCGAAATCGTACAGAAACCTGTCTTCAGAGACTAGGAAAGAGCAACAGCAGCTGAACAGTTTTGCAGTCTGACAATGCGGGAGGGACGCAAGGGACGGGGAGGGAGGCTGTGCTCGTGGTCGGGCTGGGTCCACACCGTATAACTCACGGTGGTCTCACAGTATAGTGACCTAGGTGTCCTTGGCCGGAACGCGCCATTTGACCGCGTGAGCGTAAAGCGCCAGGGAGGGGGTGTCTGGTTATGGAATTGGTGTCAGACAGTCAGGCCCCCAGCAGTAGTCGGTCCGCGCCAAGTATTTGCGTGCTCTCAAAGTCGGATTCACGGTCCTCCTCCTCCTCCTCCTCCTCCTCCTCCTCCTCCACTGTGCGGAGAGCGACCAGATAGAGTTAGTTGTCCCTCCCAGCGGCACGTTTCTGCTCGAATAGTCATGAACTGAGTCGTCGTGCTGTCTGATCTGTATGGCAGCGGAGACAGTCATGACATGGAATTTGAGAAACCACACCTGCATCCAGTTAGTTCTTCATCGGTATGACTCAGGTATGCACGGGAGCTGCCAGGCGATGGGCAGTGCCCACGCCAAAATCTGCGGTAATGCATTTCGTTGCTTCTAGCACAATCTTTATGTACGGTGGATGATGCAACAACATCGGTAGGTCTCTCTCGTTTGTCCTTCGTGGGTGCGTACAGAGGCAGTGGCTGATGAAGTTGTCAGGGCAGCCGTCCCTTTCTAACTGATCCCGGAGGTGTCAGGTACTGTAACCGCTCCTGTTGTTCGTTGCGGTGCGTTTTCGGACCTTTAGAAGAACGAACCGGCACAGCCGAGTTTCTGCACCATCGCGTGGCTGCTATGGTGACAGGGATATTCACATCATCGTTTGGCTCCACGTTCGTCCAGTAACAACAACGTGAAAGACAAGTTCTAGGAGTGTCCACACGTACCCCGCGCGGCTGTGTCGAAGACGGGTAAATGGACTTTCCTCGACGAGTTCATTGCCCGCGTAGACGCGGACAACACCAAAGCGACTAGTATGCGGTGACGTCTCTAGGTGTTCTTGCAGACAAGGTGGCAAAAAGAGATGATACAAAGACATTCCGAGGTCACTTCTCAAGTACCTGTAACTAGGTTATGAGACCTGAGAAAACCTGCACAGAGTCGACAGGCATGTCACACTGCCAAGAAGCGCTTGAGTCATCTTCAAATCCGGTCGCATAGCAGAGGTCAAGGCAAGACGAGAGTTCTGCAAAAAACAAATGTCGTATACATTCTCGTGAGCGCCCATGTCCTATCACGAGGTCCCTGTTTTTAATGAACATTTACGACCTTGATTGTCCTTGTTGGACATCTCTGAGCTCAGTGCAATGTCAGTAGGACCAACCCATCTCCCACATAACAAAAGACTACAATGACGAACCTACCTACTGAGCACATTCATCCTGCAATGACACCTCTTCTTCCTCCCCCCGTCATCATCAATAATACAGACACAGTTTCTACCTGTTCCCACTGCGACCGTACATTCGAATCAGATTTCAGCTTGGTCAGTCACCAGCTAATCCATTGCAGTGCGACCGGAGAACCGCTGCCTGAGGCCGTGACATATACCCGTCAAGCACCTGTCCACACTATCCTAGGAAATTGGGACATCGCCTGGGTCTATCCGGCCACATTCGTGTACACATTAGTAGTGCACACAACATAGCATATGGTTAATGAAACGGGCATGCGATGTAACTTAACAGCGTCGTAATAGTGAACGGTACCCCGTGCGTGAGAATTACGCCTGTCGGTTTAGATGAAAACCAGTGTGCGGCTAAGTCAACTTTCCTAAGAAGCGGCTCGTATATCTCTATCAGCATTCAAGAGTCCCTTTGGAAGTGTGTTCTAGGACCTGACTGTCAAACCCTAAAAATAACGAAAAGTCAGTAATCACTTTAAACTTAGGCAAGTACAACACCGCCTTTATCAACAACAGACCATCACGCCCATATTCCTGTATTCCGGACAGTCTATGGTCTCAGGAGCTTTTTTTCGCTGAAGGTGACATGAATAAGCTTTACGCTGGGAGATCACAAAAAATCAAGCATTCTAGAGGTGGCGTGTCTGGTTCACTACTGGCGAAGCAGTGGTCCAGGGTGCGAAGACAACACAACCACCGTCCTTGCTCAATGGCAAGGGTGCGAGCATGCTCATTCTACGTTACTCATCGGAGTCGCACACATTGCGATGGCCTGTGACTTCCAAACCATGCCAACAACATGACGCTGTTCAAACTGACTATGATTCTGTTTATGTTTTGTAACACATCTTATACGCAGGTGCAGGAATTAACCGCTACCTCCTCGGTGCAAACGCTCAACTTCACGATTTCAGACTCTCGGAAATGAATCGATAGTTTCCTGACGTAGTTGATCTACAATTTCATTGCCTCAACTGTGCTGGGTATGCCTGTTAGACGACCTGGAGGAACTTCCCCATTTCACCTCATATGTACTTCTATCCGGGGTTACATCAGAGACACTGACGATTTAGTGTAATTGGCGACTGTTTGCATGTACCAACCCACAATATATGCTCCACTTGACGACGGACAGGAGAGAGCATCCTGTACAGACGAAATCCCACAGACCGAGTTCCCTCTGCAACGGGTCATGAGTTCACCTTCGCATCCGCCGCGATAATTGCTGAAGCTGATGTAAATAGAGCCCAGGACCTCTGATGAGGACTCAGTCAACTGAAATATTGATCTTGCTTCCGCATAAGGATTTCTGCTCAGTCACCTGCAGACCTGCGACACCGGTCGTTGACTGGATAAAACTCTCCATAACTGGCGCCTATTCTGTTGCTACTGTCACGTTGGAAGATGGATCGCTGTATCAGCTCGAGAGCTCGGAAAAATAAATGACTCTGCTGTCCGGCCAGTCTCATTCCTTGCTACAAATCACAAATCTGCACGGATGCTACGAACTCTTTTCTAAGGCGTGCGTGATTTATTCATGACCACCTCTGCTTTGACGCCAGTGGTGCATTGATTTCCTACAACTGATGTCGCGGCGTTAAGCGCTTCGCGCCATGTGCTGTTTGGGCGGACCACTCCTAAGGGTGGGAGGTTACAACTCTGGCGTTGCGACCTTTGAACCTATTGAAAACTGTTTTGCGCTCGTCTAAATGTTGACTCGAGTGTAATTAAGCTAAAAGTGCGTGATAAAGACCTTTTAGCAAACAAGTACACACAACCCCCACCCAGTATGGAGGGTATCGAATGGTCTCGAT